GTTCGGTGAAGTAGTAGTGAAAAGCCACTTTCTTAAATGACTTCTCTTGATCAGTTACACGTCTGATAGGTACAGTACCCTGCCTTCCCTTTCATCAACATCTCCGGATCTCCAGGCTGGAGATGAGAATGATGATGATTTCTGGCACACACCTTGTACTCCTAGTAAGAAGCTCCTGGTGGGTAGTATTATAGTCTACATTTTCTAAACGGGGCAACAGGTGCAGAGAGGCAGAGGAACTCACTTGTGATCACACAGCCCGATGGTAGCAAAAGCAGGATTTAAATTCCATCAGTCTGGACTCAGAGCTCATGTGACTCTACACTAAACGCCGTCTTGCCTGTGGCATGAGAAGAAGGCTGACATGCTACCCTCCCCGACTTCCCATAATTTTGCTGGCTCCAGCACCATGGAGGAAATACGATCTTGTTCCTTTGCCACTAAATCTGGGCAAGTGCAATGGGGTGGGGTGTGAGCAGCTCCAGGTCCGAGTTGTCTGTGGAAGGCAAGGAATCCCAGTGCCAGACAGGGCTAGGATCTAGCTCTGTGAGTTCAAGTAAAATCTGCCCTACAATGACAAAGGAAGCAAGCAAGACACCGCTTTCCAAGTCTGAGGGCAGGCATGGGTACACAGGATAACCTGAGAATATGACTAAGAGAGGTATGGGGGAAAGTTATAAGAAAATTGAGAGTATTTCTGTTCGGCATTAAAATTAGATTCTATTAACAAACAGTAAGAGTGAGATGTCCTCTTTGTCTAACCATGCAAAGTGCGTTTGAGCATGGTAACTAGCTGACTCACTAATAAACGTTCATTTTTTATAAGACTTAGGATGATTTCTTTTATAAAGAATCATGTTGGTTTCACATTTAAACTGATATTGTTCAGACATGTATTCAATGTGTGTATAAGAAAAGTAGAAGGTTACATTAAAAATTACTGTTCTCTTTGTACTTTGAGAGGTTCCATTCCTAAAGAACTCCTCAGGGAATCTGCCGCTCAGAGGGGATCTTTATCAAATTTAGTTCTCTTGAGGTACTTCGTGTTGGCATCTATGAAGACGTGACCTGACACTTGAAGTATGTCATTTCTCAGGAAGCTTCTCAGGGCTTCCATTCGGTTCCAGTCCTCATTGCTGATTCTGCTTCCTCATAATGACTCCTCTAATTTCCTTACCCCATCTCTTCCATTTTCTCTTCTAATGCCTTGTCCTTTGACCAATTAAAATTTCTTCCTCAACTGACACTGGTTCTGCCTGTTTCTCTTAACAAACTTCTCTTTGCTGGCTTTGCTGCGCTGTGTGTGTGTGTGTGTGTGTGTGTGTGTGTGTGTGTGTGTGTGTGCGTGCGTGTGTGTGCGTGCACACGTGCGGTGTGTGCACCTGCTCATGAACACACATTTACCCGTGTAACTTCTGTATGTGCCATGTGTGTTCAGGAGCCCGCAGAGACCAGTAGAGAGCTCCAAACCCTTGGATCTGAAATTGCACTATGGTAAGCCATCATGTATGTACTGGGAACTGACTATTGGACCTCTGTAAGACAGAAAGAACTATTAACTATTGAGACATCTTTCCAGCCCCTGATGTGAGTTTTAATCCTACTGAATTCTCCCTATATGTTAAAGTGCTCTCCTTTTGACTACTTGGTTCTGCTGTTCTTGGGTACCTTCTTACTCGCTATGCTGTTCTCATGATGTGCTGAACACTCTCCCAGCCTCAACACAGTTTACCTCACTCTTCTCAGACACTCTGTATTCATATCATCAGATCAATATTTATTATCTAAATTCTAAAACTTGCAATGATTAATAAAGTGTATAAGATCAAAATGCTAGTCAAATATTTTACTTACAAGATTTTTTTTGTTTCTTTTTGGTTTTTCAAGACAGAGTTTCTCTGTATTGCTTTGGAACTAGTCCCATAACTCGCTCTGTAGACCAGGTTGGCCTCGAACTCACAGAGATACATCTGTCTCTGCCTCCCAAGTGCTGGGATTAAAGGTGTGCGCCACTAATGCCCAGCACATACAAGATTTTTAAAAGTTGATGGTATAAAACAAAAATGAAAATCAGGTTAAGAAGACATCTCCATGCATCTCAGATACACGTTGCCATAGGACAGTGTTGAAGTTAAAAGTAGTCTTTAAGTATAAGAACATTAATTTTATAGTTTATTAAATGAATAGTTTGTAAGCTAATGTCTAAAGGACAAATAAAATCAACTAATTAAAATTCAAACAAAGTTCTATTTAGGTACCCATAAAAGTAGTTTTGTCACTGAATAAATAGAAATCTCTCTCACACACACACACACACACACATACACACATAACAACAACAACAACCACAGTATCTTAATAAAAATAACTGTAGCAACACATACATGCTTCTGTAATATTTGGCATTTTTCAAATTATGGCTCTGTGTGACTTGTGTTTTAAACTCATCTTAATGTGAGATATTGTTATGTGGGTAATCATAGAGGAAATCTAAGAAGTTAATGATTCATTTACTATTAAATGTTTCTCTTTAAAGACATTGTGCCTAGAAGTTAAGTCCTGGGCCCTTGCCATGTGTTTTATATTCTATTTTAACAATCCTAACAAGAGTCAAACACCTGCAGTCAAATTTACATATTTGTTGACAGTGGATCAATATATTTTTTATAGTCGTGGATTTTCCTATAGTATTCTATTTTAAAATTCAATGAAATGGGATAATTGCTAGTCTTAATTTCTGAATATATGTGTTCATGTTTGTAAGTATGTTTGTGTATTTGTGTGTGTGTTCAATGTATGTGTATATGTATGTGGGTGTGCACGTGCATTCAAACATATCTACATCTCACTCATCCATATGGTTAATGTGTTTTCAGGCTGAATTTTACCTGACTCGCATGAAAAGGAGAAACGGTGACACACACACAAACATATAAGGAGTGTACTCATTATATGAATTCACTTCCTGTTTAAGTAGCTTATATGACAGAAGAAACATTATTGAAATCATTGAGAAATTATTTTTGATTATGGATAATGCCACTTACTTTCTTTGAAACGCATGGCATTTTTGAGAGAGAATTAGCAGCAGGGACAAGCTATACACAACAGTGGTTATAAAATCCTGTTTCATTATCTACTGCCTGACCCTGTTGCTCTTCACAGAAAATAAAAAGAAAGTAATAGGAAATATTCCAGAATGTACACATTGATAAGTGTATTTATATTAAAAAGTTATTGAGCTATATAGTTCAAATAATTGCCTCTGCAAGTATGAAAAATACATCAGCTTAATTTATCCTTTGACCTACCTATCTTATTTGGCAATGAAAACTTTGATAAGGCACAAATTCAATTTGAAGTATATTTTAAAAACCCTCATTTGAATAGTTTCTCATTTTGGTTAGTACCTGACAACTTTCTCATAATCATCTTAGAAACCAAATTAAGACATGTGGGTGAGAAGTTAGCAGAATTCATGTGCATTTGCATGTGCTTTGATTAGCATGTCCCAAGTCCATGACAAAATGGCAGGCTATGTAGGCTGTGCTGGTGTTACCTGGGTTGGCAGGTCCTTTTCTGTTTAGAATTTATTAATGATTTCAGTAATATAATGATGAGGTTGTTTGATTGTAAAACATGATTTATATACTTTAAAGCAACAACAAAATCCCAGGAAAATAATGTTCAAATAATAAAGTATTAGAGACTAAAATCTAGAAGAAGATGAAATTTAACAAGGATTGTTCCAACACGGCAACTATAAGAAGACAACCATACAACAGGGAGAACATTAATGGGCAGATGTTTTCATTTAAACAAAAGAGGGCAGTGTTTATCTGATCACATGCCAGTGCAATCTCAAAGTGTCATCCAATATTCAAAGCATCTTAGGATACAGTGGGAGTCTACTGTACACGGTACCAGGCTTACCTGACATATTGCACTGCACCCTAATAAGATTGTACATTTTTAGTCCCATTCTTGATAGCTTCAGGAGGTCAGTTAGTGTTTCCTGGGACAAACTACCAGTCTGCAGTGGGCTCAGCAATACATAAAACGAAGGAAAATAATATCAAGAGATTTGGTTCTTTACTAACTCCCAAAAGGCAAACCTTAATAAATTGGTCTTCAGATATTTGAAGTACACTGGTAATTTGAAGGATTTGATTTATGTCACAGAGGGTAGAATGAGATTAATATGAACAAATAAGAACAATTTAAAATATACCCAGACAATGAGAGAAAACATGACCAAAACCAAGTCATTTAAAATCATGTTACAGAACCCTCATTCACATTGCTGTAGCACTGATAATGCCTGCTTCATGTAGCACAAAGATTTCATAAGCAAGCATATGAGAAAGCATGTAAAAACATGCAAGCCTCCAGAATCAACGGAAGATGGTACAAAATGACCCAAGGATGGTGTGTCAAGAGTCCCAGCAGAGCAGACCAATTGCCAGGACCCTTCAGGGATTCCCTTTGCTGGAGACACAGAGATTTCGCTCTGGCCAGAGATAGAGTTATTATAGCATTTCCAATTACAACTGATATTCATTTATTGCCTACTTCATCTTGGTTGAAATCCATAAATAGTAATTAAGTTAGAATTACAAAGAATCACATATGTCAATTAGCTATTTTGGGTCAAGAGCATAGCTAATATCTACAGTTTTTAGAGAATGTGTGACTAGGTTGGACTTCTACCAAAATACTCATTCACTTAAAGATTAAAACTATGGTCAAAGTAGTTTAGACCAAATTAGGGCTAATTGAGTTTATACAAATAATTGTCTGTACGTGTATGCTGCTAATTTTGAAAATATATAAGACTTTTCTGATGTTAAACTTCTGTCAAAATCTCTAATCTTATATTCTGTCTTTGGTAGTTGCTACCCAATGTGCACCTGTTTGTTATTTTTTAAAAATTTATTAGTGCTCAAAAATAATTATCCTCTGAGTTAGCAAACTCTTTCAGCTGTTGCTCGTTTACTTACCCTTTGACCTTCTTTTCCGGGTGGACCTTGGGGGCCTGGTATCCCTATGGAGCCCTGTGAGGAGAATGGAACACGTGTTAACACTCTAGCTCGAGTACATCTGCCATGGAAGAATGCAGTGATAATTGATACTCATTCATTTCTGTGATGAAACCAAACAAATTTAAGTCATTTGAGCTCCTGCAAGGTTAGTCCATCAGTCTGTCAGTGATGATAAATGGCTCTTCATTGTTTGGCTTATTTTTGGACCTGATTCCAGAAAAGAGTAAATGGAAGCTCTGAGTCAGACAAGAGATTAAAAAAAAGCCCTTCTTATTACTGAAACCCCATATTGCCAAACTATCAACTAACAGTGTTTGCAAGCAAAAAAATTATGCCTTTTACATATTTAAACTTTATAAATAAAACTACAATTCTGTTGAGAGTAGCTTTATGTCTTTTCAGAAAACATATGATTATATCGTTGGCTTCTGATGTCTATAACATGCAGATTTCAGTATTTTACATATTATGAAATTACTTCTCTTATTATCACCAAATGATGAGGGAAGGTCATTAATTGTTAGATTGTAAAAATGTTGAGTAAATCTCAGGTGTTGTCAATTTGAAAGTGAAGTCTCTTGAATTTTACAGGTATTTGTTATTACAAAATGAAACTCAGACTACATTGCTATTCTTCATCTTCGGCCATTGTTATTGGTTATTCTTGGCCTTGCCTATTGCTTTTTTCTTATTCTTAGAACCTTCAAATACACTTTATGTGGGGTTTTACATTCATCTTTAGAGTTTATGTTCTCTTCATGATCTTCTGTATTTGTGGGCTTCAGATCCTTCACAGTGATGGTTCCTAGATCCATTGCCTTAGTTTATCTGTATGCAGATCTAACAGTCAAATGCCTTCATGACACACCCACTTGGATATCCCACAGGCATCTAAAATTTGGCACATCAAACACGGGATGTAGGACCCTACCTAACTCCTCTTTGGCATTCCCTACCGCAGTACCCAAAGATCACTGTCTTGTCGCTCAATCTGCAAATCACAGACACCCGACACTCTCCTCTCTCATACTCAATCCTCACATATAATTACCACGCCTGTTTTTTTTTTTTTTTTTTGGTTTTACAAGACAGGGTTTCTCTGTATTGTTTTGGAGGCTGTCGGTCCAGCCCGGCCTCGAACTCACAGAGATTGTCCTGCCTCTGCCTCCCGAGTGCTGGGATTAAAGGCGTGCTCCACCATCGCCTGGATAGTTTTTAATATTTGAATCCATCTCTCTCCATTCCCATTGCTTTCAGATGATCTTCCTTTCCGCAAAATTTCTTGATGGTCCTGTCACCACCAAGCAAGTCTTCAGGAAGCCCGGCTTTGCCACCCTGTCTCTCCTGACTTGCCTGCTCAGCTTATTATGTTTTAAACTTAAAAAAAATCACACCCCAAATTCATTTAAATGGTGTTCATGTAATGATCCGGTACTCTGGTCAGACTCTAAGCTACAACAGGTGGAATCTACCTTATTCACATGAAAGTATTACTGGCTAAAGAAAAACAAATGTCAATTGGGGAATCAATCCCCTATAATAAAAAAATGGATGAAGACACTAGATTTTCAAATATTTATGATTAACTTATTATATATTAAGTACACAAGATGATTTGAGATAAACAAACAATCTAATTAAATCTAAAACCACTACTTCTAGAGGAACAAAAGCTTTGGATTCTTTGTTGCTGTTTCTGAACTGAATTCAGAGCCTCTTGCTTGCTAAGCATATGCTCTCTCACTGAGCTACACTGCTAGCCTCCTGGAATTCATTTATATATCATAATCTTTTCTCTTTACAAGTCCTGACTACCTTTAAGTAAACACTGGGTATTTTTGTTATGACCTGTGGCTACTTATTGTGAATATAATCATTTCCAATTTTTTCATAGAAAGTAGCATTTTTTTAAAGAAAAAAGGATGTAAGGCAGGTAAACACAAGTAACATCTCAAAAATTAAGAGCTCCACTTGGTTTTGGCTGTGTACATACCCTCTTGTAATAATACATTTGGAAGCCTGAGGCCCTTACCTGCACCCAGGTACTACCTGCACCCAGCCCTCTCTGAACAATGGGCATAGGAACCCACTGGCAATGTAAGATCTCCCTCTGAATTGAGCTACTGGCACTCTCCACTCTAAACATCAGAATACATTTCTTCCTCTTAATCACTATTAAACACATTCTAGTCACATATGACTACAGGCTTAAGTACAATGTGGTGCATGGGCAGTAAAGGCAGTATCTTCTGAGTGCATTTATCGTGAGAATCCTCTAATTACCATCTATGTCTGTAAGTAATTGGGCATGCATATGTTTACAGAATCTAAGCCTGTCTATCAAAATAGAGAACTGCCTGTGCTTTCTCATTTGTAAATCCCAACCCAACAAATCATCCGGGCCTTTGAGTACCTTCATTTGTGTTGTCTGCTGCCACGCTTGACAGCACACTTCTTTATGATCCATATTATAATTTTGCTTTGAATAACGTCCCCCTTGCTATCCTATAATTGTGTGAGCCATTATTTCAGCTCCGTGGATAAGAAGCCTATTGATTTGTATCTGAAAGCACCTGGCCCAAATTTCAACCAGTGGTAACATATGCATACATACATGATTTTACCATCTGGATGTTTATTTTTTAAAAAAATTGATCAATATATGTTAAATTTTCATTCATATAGCTTTAATTTGATTAAAATAGCAAAATTCCCTATAAATTATTCTATCAGATTTTTGAACATTATTACCAAATTTCTGCTTGTTGCTAATTCAGTAAATCTTAGCTTCTTCACCATTACTGACGAATAAAGGCTATCCATTTATCACTTTCATTATTTTATCTGATTTTAGGGAAAAATAATGGTACAAAAGTATGACAAGCCTGCATTTTACTAACTTAGGCAGGAATAAAACTTGGGGACTGAGAAACTGATCGATTTTGTTTGTAATTTTAAAACCACTTACAAAATGATTTATAAGCAAGCTAAGTTGGCTCATTAGGCTAACTCTAAGATGACAACAAATTCCTAGTGTTTGTGAGTAAACCAAATGTTGAAATGAAAATATGCCAATATTAATTACAGCACAATTACAAAGACACGCTATTTTGTACAATACTGACACAATCTAGGCTCTAGATTAAACTCTTCCCTTTTGCCCTCGGGAAAAATACTATATTTCATGAATAGCTAAACTAGTACACAATATTTTTGATATTCATCCAAATGCTGACAACTCCTTCCATGTTTTTAAACATGAGTTTCTAAAACACATACACATTCACTATCATCAAAGGAATATGCTTAGCTCTTGGAAATATAATTAGAATTCTATCCCCTTTACAAGTATGGAAAATTACATTGCAAGGTATGTATAATTCAAAATAGTACATTTTGTATGGAAGGAGTTCAGTATATTAAGAAATGTGATAATCTTTTGTGCCAAGGTCTGCCTGGGAAGATGGTGGTACATGCATAAACCTCATAGCCTCATAGCCACAAGCTCCCACCTCACTTTTGTAAGTGAAGGAGCCAAATAGCAGATTGATGAAAACTTTGTAAACTCTACTTAATCATTAACAAATAACTTCCTATCAAAACCATCCATGACATCTTATATTTATCCTTAGCCATGCTGCCCCAATGTTCAGAAATTTTGCTCCTGGTGTGCTGGCCAGCAGTCAAACTCAGGACTCAGGCTGCTGTGTGTAAATGCCCTGCCATTGAGCCAGCTCCAGAACATTTTATACTTCAGTACAGAACATTAGCTGACATTTACAAAGAAAACTATTTTTAGTCTTGACAGTAGTAAAACAGATCCATCAATTACACGCACATAACATTTTTCCAAACTGAGGAATTACGATTTGGGGATATTTTTGCTATTTATAGTTATTCAAGCCTATATTATTTCCACTTAGTAAGGTCAAGCAATGAATTTATTCATCACTTGCTATGAAAACTAGAGATCTGCTTAGGAGGTGGGCTCCTGAATTAATGTGAGAACTCAGTACTCGTTTCAGAGCCACTCTGCTATGGGGTCTTACTTGGCCTTGTAAATGGCGTCCTGTATTTACTGCACTTAACCTTTCCTTTGATTATGAGTTCTGGAGGACAGAAGCTATTATATATCCTATTTCCATCTCCATTACAGTGTCTACTCAATAAACACACAGTAGGTCAAATCACAAAGAAGAAAACATTGGCAGAGTCATGCTTGGTGATGCTATTGGGAACACAGCTCTCTATACATACAATTATTATCATTTTCATAGCTTAGATTTCAACATTACATTTGAGAAGTAATTTTCTCCTTTTCATTTCATCATTCCATATTCCTAAACATCACCCTTTTACTTTGAAGTCTTTCTTCACTCTTGTGTTCTACAAGTGAGAGAAATCATGTGGTACTTTAATTTACCCTCCTTGATGATAAGACCCATGCGCTTGACCAGTGATGTATTGGATGCATATAAGACATAACTACAGATAATAATAATACTTATTACTGCATGAGAATGAAATGTGTGGCCTGGCACATGTGTGGAGGTCAGAGTACAACTTTATGGAGTAATTTTTTTTCTTTCAGATTCATGTGTGTTCTCAGGATGGTGCAGCAAGGGCCTTTACTGGCTCCATCTTCTCATGAACCCAATGATTGATACATAAGTTTGTTTTTTCTAGACAGGGTTTCTCTGTGTAGCTTTGGAGGCTGTCCTGGAACTCACTCTGTAGACCAGGCTGACCTCAAACTCACTGAGATCTGCCTGCCTCTGCCTCCCAAGTGCTGGGATTAAAGGCGTGCACCACCACTGCCTGGAGTTACTTCTCTTTTTGAGACTGGCTTATTTCAGTTAACATGATGATAATGATGTGGCATCCATTTAATTTCTCTCTTCTACATGGCTTAATAAAACTCCACTGGGTACCACTTTTCCTTTATCTCTGCAATTGCTGTTGGACATTGGATTGATTTTGTAGTTCAGGTGATGTAAATATACAACAGTAAA